CAGAAATCCTGTTTTTCACAAATATGTGCATGGGGAAATGGACAAAACTCAAACTTGTATCCTCTGTGGATAATAACTACAACCTACAGTTTGCAGACACATTGTCTGCCCAAACTTGAACAAATGCAGTACTCTGGTGCTTGGGTTAGTGGAATAAAAGTGACAACGATTTGACAGTTGCACACGTACAGGTAAAATTCTTGGAGTCCAGCATGGAGACCTGCATGGAATGAACAGCAGCCAATCAAACAGAAGTCTGTGTGGAGGAGACAGGAGTCCCGCCAATGGAAAGGAGAATCGGCAGCGTGCATGACTGCAGACAGAGCATCGGAAGACAAGAGTGATGTCAGAATAGGCAGGCTGTTACGTGTTTCAGGAGCTCCAACCCTTTGTAAAGCACCCCACACACAAGGGAAGCCAGTTTATAAACACAGCCAGCTGTGGAAGAGGAGAGGCAAAGGTTGCTGTTCACTGCTGTGGCAGGATGACAAAGCCCAGCACTATAACAAATGTGCATACACACAAAAATTAAATTATTAATTAATTAAAATTATTTTATTTAAGCAGTACAAAATATATATATATATATATATATATATATAAATATTTATAGTGCTAGATATACAGTATATTCAAAAGCCCAGCATAAAGAGCATAAATATCTTCTAGTGCAGAAAATAGTAATAATACTAATAATATTAATATTAATAACAACAACAATAGGGTCATCTCCAAAGGACAACAAGACCCCTAGCAAAGCCTGAGAGTAACATCCTTGGGTGTACACGCATTGATATGTATGCACATGAGGGGTAGAAAGGAACTGGCGTGCTAAATGTGAATAAACCACAAGTGGAGGAAAAGTATAAATGAGTCACAACGATATTCAGGACCCACTCCCAAAGCGATAAAAGCACATGATTGTGAGTATTAAAAAAAATACGTAAAACTGCAGTAAAAAAAAAAAAAAAATTATATATATATATATATACACACACACACACAAAATTGCCAACACTTATGGGACTCCTGCCTTTACACGCACATGAACTTTAGTGGCATTCCAGTCTTAGTCTGTAGGGTTCAATATTGAGTTGGCCCACCCTTTGCAGCCATAACAGCTTCAACTCTTCTGGGAAGGCAGTCTACAAGGTTTAGGAGTGTGTCTATGGGAATGTTTGACCATTCTTCCACAAGCGAATTTGTGAGGCCAGGTACTGATGTCCTCAGGCAGTCCCTATAAAAATAAATAAATAAATATATATATATATATATATATATATATATAAAACCCCATGTTTGAGTACAAAATGTCGGGGTATACTGTGGTCAGTGTTGCTTTCCTCGATTAACCTTCTGTAACCTCATACCCCACATTACCAGGCTTCCCTCCTACATAAGGGACACATTGGACATTTTGAAACACATTGTGAATGTAATTGTGCCTCCCGACGCCCTGCTTGTGATGATTGATGTGGAGGCGCTTTCCTTGAGCATCCCTTGCGAGCAGGACATCGGGATAGTGCGCTCCTTCTTGATGGAACAAGGTCAAGCTCAGTGGGAATTCAATGCATTCATTTTGAGGTTATTGCATTACATTTTGACACACAATTGGTTTACTTATATGGATTCCTACTACCTCTAGGTGCAGGGCATGACCACGGGCACTTCTTGTGCCCCATCCCACGCCAATTTGTACCTGGAGGTGGGTGGGAATGAGATCTTTTCCAGCAATGCTTTCAAGACGTACCTGAACCATGCATTATCCCGCTTAGGTACATCAATGATATTTTCATCGTATGGACAGGCACTCCTTGCATGCTAAATGAATTACTGGAAAGATTAAATCAGAACAATTATAATCTCAAATTCATTATGAATTGGCACGACAAGTTGATTACTTTCTTAGATCTTTCAATCTACAAAGATGCCAATTATTGTTTGGCTGCTAAACTGTACTGCAAAGAAACAGCAGGGAACACTATTCTTCACGCCACGAGTGCCCATCCATTACCTTTGGTCAAGCGCATTCCTTATGCCCAATATATTCGCCTACAGCAAAATTGTACCCACATACATGAATTGAAGGAACAAGCAGACCTCGTACATCAACATTTGTTGCAGCGTGGCTACAGCAAATCCCTTGACCACCTTCGGCTGGATCCTCTGTGCAGTTTTTGGTCTCACTGTGCGTGCGCGCTGCCTCGTTGTGGTGCCGCATTGCGGGGGTTTCCTGCAGCTGGATCCTCCCCTGCATGGCTGTGGGTTGGCATGGGGCGTGTGCAACGGCACTGGGCGCATGCGCAGTCAAGTGCAGCTGGACCGAGTGACATCACACGCCATTCCAGTGTGGGCACAGCAGCAGGGGTATATCTAGTGGCGGTGGAGGGTAGAGACGATATTGGGATGGATCCAATGGCAGCACATTCATGTGTGGCAGGAAAGATTTCTGGTAAGTATTCTACAATGGGACCCTTGTAGAGGCTCCAGTTTCTTATACATAGACCTTCTTAACTTTTATTTATTGCTATTTATACATTATTGCAGAGTTTATGGCTATAAGTTATACTGCTGGGTTGAACGGAGGAATAACAGTATGGATATATAAGGAAGGACATTTTCATTGAAGATAAGGGGTGTGGCCTGCACTTTTGTGTGATATCAGATGATAGGTAAAATCCTATTTTAGTAATCAATAGAAATTATGTAGGATCCTTAAATATGTCACTATATAACAATGTAATCATAATCAAAATATGATAATAATAGAATTTCCGGTTAAATTAGGTTATTTTCCCTTGAATTATCTTCACTATTTAATTGTCTTCCTTGGGAAGGCATTGGATGAATTTGGTAGGTATTTTCCGAATAATCTGTGTAGCTCATCCCACCGCTGCAATATTCTCCTATCGAGGTTAGCTTTCCAGCAATCCAAATAGGTATTTATTATATTTAACATCATGTTTTTTCCTGTTTTTCACCCTGTTCCTTAGCATACTTTATTATATCAATTGGGTCCTTAAAATTGGTTATCTTGTTCCCCACCTTCTTATCGAATTCTCCCATTCTTCCCCCCTCCAGCCCTTTATGTGCCCCCACATCCACACGTCGACCTGCCTGGTCACTGACTCTGGGGTTTCCTCTGCTCAAATATATCATTTTGAATTTTCATTTAAATTTGCAGTAAGTCATATATACTTAAATGTTCATATTTGTGGCAAAATTGTTAACTGTATATGAGTTTCTCACTATGCTTATTTTGCCTTCATGTAGACAAAAGCTCCTTTGGTTGGTCGCAAAACAGGTAGAGCATTTAATCTCTGGTGAATAGGAACACCCCAATAGTTGGAAGATTGTGCCAGGGTTTAGAGCTGTTCTGCCCTTCCCACCTCAGAATGTTTTACACATCCACTGTGAGGGGGTCAATTTAAACCCAACGCTCCATCTACAGAAGTGCTGTTTATTGGTTTTTTGTGTTATGTATGATGTTTTATGATATCCTAAACAAATTATATACATTTTAACCTATTCTCGTGTCACATATGTGCCTATAAAGTCCATGTACAGTATATTGTCCTCTTTTTCGTGTTATATTTATAAAACACATTTCAAGCCTTCTTCCCTGAAGACGCCATGAGGGTGAAATATGTAGGGGAGGATTGGTTTTGAAGTGACATCATCCCGCATGGAGAGCCTGTCTGCTCACAGCGTTTTGTTGTGTGTGGCTGGAGCCAACAGGACCAATGAATACATGCAATATAAACCTTAGTTTCAGGGCAAGACACATCCAAATGTAAGTGCATTCTGTATTTAATGCTCTTATATGAATAAATATGTTTTACACTATGAAGTACCCGCCGGTTCACTGTGCATTTGTGGAGGATTTGAGGAGGAGAGTGGCCTGAGTTAACCTACTATTGGCTGGACTAAATAGATTGCAATACATGATATATGTGTAACACCCTTGATGTAATGTCAGCTGCAGCATGTTAAAACCAACACAGGATGACAGTGTCCTGCACTTCAGTGAACCACTCTAGTAAAAAACCTTTATGAATCTTATGGGCTGAACTGAAGGACTTTGTTAGAAGACTGCTAATTGGGGGACTACATTTTTCTCAGAAGAGTTGGTGTGTGGGAACCAGAACAGGAAGTGAGAGGGGAGAGAGCTGGAGGGAAGAAGCAGAGAGAGAGTTCTGCTAACTGCCAGAGAATCGCACCAGGCTGCAGAGCCAGAGAGAGGAGAGGAAAGAAGGAATCACTGACTACTAGCCTTGCCACCCTGTTCAGCGATAGTCTGCCAGCAGGTGACTCGGAGACTAGACAGAAAACTGCAAGTGAGCCTGGAGAACCTATGGGGGCCCTCATTCGCTGACAGAGAGGCGACAGCCAGGACCTGCTGGAAGCAACCAATAGAGTGGGAGAGTCCCATACACCAGTTAAGCAAGAGAACACTTAGACCCAACTGCACAGAAGCTTAGGATCAGTGATCTTCAGTGACATACTCAAAACTGTTAAAAACCATACAGGAAGAGGAGGCCTTAATGGCAGCCAAAACCAGGAAGGCAGAAGTCCAGAGTGGAACCCAGGCAAGGGTCTCCTCCGGTATCATAAATAACTAAAAGTGCAGCGCTAAAATATGAATAATAAAGTGATAAGTGATATATAGAGCGCAAAGGTTGTACGCTATAAGGTGAAATCAGTGTGATGTCTTATTAAAGACGGTATATGATATAAGGTGACAACAGCGATTTATCTTATAAAAACAAATAATATAACATAAATGCACAATATAAACGCTTAAAAGTCCACAGCAAAAGGTAGAGTCATTCACATGGTGTATCAATATTCCAGATTCTGGGGGTACCGATCCCTCTTGTTTAACCACCTCCCGTCTGCCATATAGTAATATGACAGACGCAAGGTGGTTCTCTCGTTCTGGGAGGACGTCATAAGACGTCCTCCTGTTCTCACCCGCGAATGCGTGGCTCAGGGAGCGCCCAGTGATTGGCGGTGCGCTGTGTCCCTCGGATCACAGATCACGGAAAGAGCCAAAGATGTCGGCTCGGTCATGTGATCAGCTGTGTCCAATCACAGCTGATCACATGTAAACAGGGAAATGCTGGTTATCAGCATTTCTCTGCTGTCGAGCTGTCACGCTGACAGCTCAAGAGGAGAGCCGGTAATCGGCATTCCTCGGAGGGGACATCTACACTGATCAGTGTGCCCTGATGATCAGTGTAGCCCCAGCAGTGCCACCTGTCAGTGTCCATCAGTGCTTTGTGTCAGTGCTCATCAGTGCCTCGTGCCAGTGCCACATCAATGCCACATATCAGTGCCTACCAGTGCACATCAATGCCACATATCAGTGCCCATCTGAGCTGCCTTTCAGTGTCACCCATCAGTGCCAGTCAGTGCCACCTATCAGTGCTGCCAATCAGTGCCGCATATCAGTGCCAGTCAGTGCCGCCTAACAGTGCCGCCTATCAGTGCCAGTCAGTGCCGCCTATCAGTGCCAGTCAGTGCCACCTATCAGTGCCAGTCAGTGCCGCCTATCAATGCGCATCAGTGCCGCCTATCAGTGCCTGTCAGTGCCACCTAACAGTGCCAGTCAGTGCTGCCAGTCAGTGCCGCCTATCAATGCCCATCAGTGATGCCTGTCAATGCCCATCAGTGCCACCTATCAGTGTCCATCAGTGCAGCCTATCAGTGCCCATCACTGCAGCCTCATTAGCGCACATCAGTTAAGGAGAAAAATCACTTATTTACAAAATTTTATAACGAAAACTAAGAAAAAACTTTTTTTTTCAAAATTTTCAGTGGTTTTTGGTTTAAGAAAAAATAAAAAACCCAGAGGTGAATAAATACCACCAAAATAAAGCTCTATCTGTCACAAAAAAATGATAAAAATTTCATATGGGTACAGTGTTGCATGGCCGCGCAATTGTCACTCAAAGTGTGACAGCTCTGAAAGCTGGAAATTGGCCTGGGCAGGAAGGGGGTATAAGTGCCCTGTAGGCTTGTGGTTAAACTTGCGTAGATAATAATAATAAGGTGCTCGTGACTTCCGTGGTATGGAAAAAGAGGTGTGCTTGCACTTACCAGATGCACAATAATATTGCGCATGTAATAATCAAAAGGGCACTAGTGGTCATCTGGGAACCGAAGGGATGAGGCACTCCAATGTCGCTTGGTACACCCAGGGTTGGGCTCCAGACCTCTCAGTGGAACCCTCTCAGCTAACAGGGACTGCTCCTTGGTATCACTTACACCCGACATCCGGTAGGGTCAGCATCAAAGGAAATCCACCTTAAGTAGCTCAACACAAGCCACCAGACAAAGAGCTGATATAGTGTAGCAGGTTTATTTAGCCAATGATGATACATACACATGTCAGGGCAGCTTAGGTGTTAGCAGAAAGATATGAGTAGAACAGTCATGCATGAGTTCAAAAGATGGCCGCCAGCCTAACACGTGGCTTCAGCAGAAAATGACGTCGGCGCGGCAAGCTCCTCTCTGACGCGTTTCATGCAATGGCACGTTGTCAAAGGGGACCCATATTATTGTGTGTCTGGTGAGTGCAAGCACGCCTCTTTTTCCATACCACGGAAGTCACAAGCACCTTATTATTATCTACACACATTTAAACAAGAGGGATCGGTACCCCCAGATTCTGGAGTATTGATACACCATGTGAATGCCTCTACGTTTTGCTGTGGACCTTTATGCATTTATATTGTGCATTTATGTTACATTATGTGTTTTTATAAGATAATACGCTGTTGTCGCCTTATATCATATACCGTCTTTAATAAGACATTAAATTGATTTCACCTTATAGCGCACAACCTTTGCGCTCTATATATCACTTATCACTTTATTATTCATATTTTCAGATATTTATGTGCCAAAGGATCTAGGGGTTTTCTTTATGCAAGCCGCTTTTGATTTTCCTATTTAAGAAGCGCTCACTTTACTATTCATATTTAGTCTCCTCCTTTGTCACTCAAGCTATACCGGCCATGGAGGGGGTGCCTGATACACAGACTATAGCTCTGATGGACAGTATAGTGCAGACCCTGTCCCAGCTAGCTCAAGCCCAAGCCATGATTCAACAGTGTTTTTGTGAAGTCCAGAAGACAGTAGGACAAGTCATAGAGGCCCATGCTGCTATGCAGAAGACCATGGGTCAGAAATGGGACAAACTGTGTCAGCCATGGCAGCAGGCAAGGGAGAATCTGGCCTTGGGTACACCAGGTGCTGCTTCCAGTGTGAGGAGCCAGGACACTTCCTCAGCTCAATGCACACAGACTGAGCTGATGACAGACCCTACTACCGAAGTAATACAAGAATTAAAGAAGCTGTTCTTCCCAAAGCCACTGGAAAACTGGTGACCTCAGTAAAGGAGCCAGCTGAGGACCGAAGAAAGCAGTGAGCTCCAATACTCAGGGAACACAAACCCTAGAGGCTTAAGCCACCCAGACATCCACTGTTAGTTGTCCCCTAGAGCCAATTCAGCTCCCAACTCCTTTGACTGGGATTCTAACACAGGGAATTGATACACACCACTTCAGAGAGCTGGGAAAGTCAACTCCTAGGAAGCAGGCAACTCCACCCGGGGAAGTCTGAATCAGAAGTGTAAAGTCTCAACCCAAAAGACTTCCAGACCAGCTAATAGGCCCATCCCCAGTGGTCTCCATTCAAGTGGAAGGAGTTTACACTAAAGCTTTGCTGGGTACAGGAGCCCAAGTGACTGTACTCTATAGGAACTTCTACGACAAGCACTTGAAGCACATACCCTTCCAGAAGTTAGAAAGGCTGAAGAATTGGGAGATTGGTTCCCAGAAGAGTCCCTATAATGGCTACATACCCATCTGCCTGGTTTTCAGCCTAACCTTAACAGGGAGAACCGGGACCTCTGCTACTCTGGCTATAGTCTGTCCTAGGCCTTCAGGGATAAAATAGTGCTCTCTACTAATTGTGACTAATACCTGGTTCACAGGCTCCTTACTCCACTGGCAGGGCAGAACACCATACCCATAGAGTGCATCCATCCACAACTACGTCAAGTCTATCAGATAGTTGTCCGAGAACTGAGGGCTCCAGAAGAGGAAGTAGGGAAGATTTGGAAGAACAGTCCAGAAGAGAAAGTACTCCAACCAGGGGCAGTTACTTGTCTGAAGGCCCAAGTCAAGTTGAGCTGGGACCAGTGGGGGCCCTTTGTGGAGCTGAAAATGGAGAACAAAGGAGAGGAAGCAGAGGTAGAAATCCAAAGGTGATCACTCTGAAGGCTCTGCAGTGTAACAGAGGTAATGTTCTTGTTAGAGTTTGTAACAACACAGCAGAACCCATAACCCTAAAACCCAAGGCTCTGCTAGGGCAAGTGAGTGTAGCCACTCCAGTCAGTGTGCCCGAGTTACCAGATGACCCTACCCAAAGGGGGTTAGGCCTTTAATACTCTCCTTTGTTAGAAGAATGGAAGTGGAGAGCAATATGAGCTGGCAAAAAAAGTGTTCTCCAGGAACGACTATGGAGGTTGGGTGCTCCAAGAGTGCCTAGCATCGAATCCAACTCAGAAAAAACAAACCATTCCGGAAGAAGGCCAGACAGATTCCTGTGGGGGACTTGCAAGACCTCAGGGAACAATTGGCAGAGTTGAAGAAGGCTGGGATTATCCAGGAGTCCAGAAGCCCCTATGCCTCCTTTATCGTAGTGGTACAGAAGAAGAATGGTACTCTACGAATGTGCATTGACTACCGAACACTGAACAAATTAACTATCCCAGATCAATACATGACTCCATAGGTTAAAGATGATTTTCAGTGCTTGTTGGAAGTGAAATGGTTTTGTGTCCTGGATTTGAATACTGGATAGTACTAGAATTTTTCCACTAACATTTTTGCTATCGTGGATACCTGCTGGTCCTATGTGGGGAATGCCTGAGCATAGCTAGTGAAGTGGTCTGTCACTACTAATACATTCCCCATCCACTAGAATCTGGTTCTAGACACAAGAAATCGATAAACATCGGCTCCATTGGTCCTTGACTTTCAAGGTGGCAGCCTGTTTAATTAGGGTCTTTCTTTGTATACAATTTAGACAGATGCGGCAGTACTCCTCCACTTCTGCCCTCATCCGCAGCCAGTAGAATTGATCTCTCACCAGCAAGTAGGTCTTCTCTTGACCTAACTGCCCATGTTCATTGTGCAGTGACCTGGGATAGATTGGAGCTGAGGAATGGGGTGGTCTACCGAAGGGTCCCCACAAACTGAAGTAATGATCTATGGCAACTCTTTCTGTCTGAACAGTTCAGAAAAATGGTGTTGAGGTCACTGCATGATAAACATGGGCACTTCGACCAGGAGAGGACCTACTTGCTGGTGAGAGATCGATTCTACTGGCCACAGATGAAGACAGAAGAACAGGGGTACTAAATTGTATACAAAGAAAGACCCTACCTAAACAAGCTGCCTCCTTAGGCCACCTTCAAAGTCAAGGACCAATGGAGCTGGTGTGTATCGATTTCTTGTGTCTAGAACCAGATTCTAGCGGATGGGGGACTTTCTTAGTAGTGACACAAGATGGCAATGTCCTGCGACTCAGTGACACACACTCTGGTAAAAGCTTTATGAATCTTTTAGGCTGAACTGCAGCACTTTGTTAGAAGGCTTCTAATTGGGGGACTAAATTTTTCCCAGATTTTCTGGCATGTGGGCAGAGACATATAAATTTGAAAGCCTAGGAATGAGAACAGGAAGTGAACAAGCCTTATTGCCAGTTTGACACCTTATTTGTCTAAAGCTGTTCTTTTCTCAGTGCACTAAAGGGGACAACACCCAAGTCAAGTGCCACTTAAAGGGAAAGTGCTTTTCCTTACTTCTTCCTCCCCTTGTGTTGATCCTGAAAGGAACTGTCACCTACATCACTTCCTACTTGTGCACCAACTGGGCCCCAGCGAGCGTGCAGAAGAGTTCTCACTGCATTTAAAGGGACATTATCTACCTTGGTCAAAGAGCTCTTTTAGATCAGATTTATGCCTTGCCATCAGATTCTGAGGGCCCAAAGTGAGCTAGTTCTCATGTTGCTAATTTTAATTGCTCACTGGGGTTGACACCACCTCAGGTTGAAGGTATTGGGTTAAATACTGAAAAGCAAGTCTGCTAACACAGATTGAGATTATGCTGGATGTGTTGTTTCTTTGCTTAGAGTTGTTAAGAGTAATCATTGCCATTCCACGTACCCATATCATGTTGTACTGTTTAACCAAGCTTACATTGAAGTTTAATATAAACCTCATATCAGTTTACCTTAATTTGTGCGTGAGTCTACTTTCTGGTAGTAATTTGCTCTAGTCAAAAGAATCCTGTGGTGTCAGCAGGGGTTGGGCTTTCATAAAGGGGTCCAGAACGACAGGGAGCCT